ATAGTAATGAATTATGATTGCTTTAAGAATATAGTGCAGGTTAGTTTGTATTGTTTTTGTTTTAATAACTGACTCTGACAATATTTTAGATATTAACAAGTCTCATTGATAATACGACAGAGATTGATGAACTTGAAATTTATTTAAGAAAAAGAATCGAAGCAACATTTAAAGCTAATGATTATAAATGTAAGCAATATATATAATATCACTACTAACTACATTAGAAAACTTAAACTATTTAACTTTTAGCCATAATCGAGGATTATAAACGATTAAATACATTTATTAAGGATGTCGACAAAGACAAGAAATGTCATTTTAATTGTAAAGTAAGTGAATATAATACCACCAAGTTGAACAAATACGGTCGTAAGCGATTGTATACGAAGAAATACGGGTGGATGTGGGTGTGGTTGTTCTCTTTCCTCAAATGCATACACGAAAACAATTCTTATTGTTATGTTTTCAAAAATGAATCTCTATGTATTGTACCAAAATGATATTGCCACAAATTCTCTTTGTAGAATGATGATTTTGTATGAAATAACAGAACGATTTTTTTCTTGCAGAAAAAAAAAAAAAGTTTTACATGTTTTTGTGTTTAAAAAGTATTTGTTTTCAGTCCGGAAGCATTAATCAAAATTCAATTGAGATTCACTGTTGAAGGATAAATTCGTCTACGATTGTGTCGATCGACGAATATAGTAGTTTGTACACGAATTCCGAGTTTTCGCCATTGATGCCAAAAACGAATATCTAATGCTGCAACAATTATTGGATCACATGCTACTTCTACAAAACTAAGTATCGTAACGACATTCATTAAATTCTGTTGATGAAGTGACATTTGAGAAACAATAATATATGGTGACCAAAATATACCTCAAATAAGATAAAAACAAAAAAATTGAATAACTAATGAACGATGATATTTTTCACGAACTGAAACATGATGTTCTGTCCATTGTAAAACTGATGTTAAATGAACATGATGAACACTAGCATAAATCATCAACATGTTCAAGAACATTGGTAATGTAAATGCGAAAATTATATTAAATATTTGAACATAGATATTCGTATAAAATACTTCACAACTACCTCTTATAGGATCTTTTATCTGAGTCCAACCAACAAGAAATTCAATGATAAAAACAACTAATGGTATTAAATAGATACGAAACTGAATGAAGATCAATAGTTTGATATATACTTGATATACATTTCGTTTGTATGCTATTTGTATATAACGACCTATATTCAAAGCTAATAGAATATATATTTCAATTATATTGAAATAATTATCCATTATTGCTTCAAAATAGCAGTTAAATAAAACCCATGCTCTGCTTGATTGGCATTCTGTAGATGTTGTATGAATAATATAACTAAATAACAAGCGAAAAATAAGAAAAATATCCGTGAAGAGATATGTATAGATCTATAGGAATTTTTTTTGTCGAAGAGATGAAGAAAAACTAATTTGAAGCCAAAGTATCAAATGTATAAATAAAACAAAAATATATCCATAAAGATGAGGTTTTGTACTGTCAATAATAGCTTGAGTCCACAGGAGAGGTTTTGAACATGTCATGTTCGTATCATTGAACACCAATGTTGTTATTGTTACACTATCCATCTATAAGAAGAGATCTCTACTATTAAAATGACAATCGTTAGGAGAGTCTCTGACGGAATGTTATAGTGATGATAGTAAGAATTGCTTAATGAGAATAGAGATATATTTTCTAATTAAAAGCTACATTATGAAATCGCTGGTGATCAAAGACTTTTTTTTATAAAATTTGATCTCATTAAAAAAAGTACAAATGAAAGTTGTTTGATAATTTTCCTTCTATTTCGAGACGAGTTTTAACAAACATAATTGGAACTGGTAAATATAGTTCGATGAATCTAGACGTTTATTTTAGAACGAGATGTTTGACTTTTTTTTTAAACAACTTAACTCGATCTATATATAACTCATATACAAGCTACTAACGAAGTCTTTATTGAAACTGATGAATATAACAAACTAAATATCATTTCATTCTAAGATCGTAGACTCTCATCGAGGAATGATGCACTGTGAGTAGCATAAACTCTCTTAATTAAATAGTTTGTTCAAAAAATTGATACTTAAATTAGCATATTTACACGAAATCATGCTATACTTATAAGAATGAGAACTAAAAATCTAAAACAATGATGCCAATATTATTTCTAGCCATTTAACATTCTAATAATTTGTTTCAAAATTATCACAATTTTTTTGCTTTGTTTTGAAAATCATTTTCCGCTAGGATATAATAGATCATACAAGATTTACTCTAGTGGAAAGTGGCTAATTTATTTAAAAACAAACTAGATTAATTCATCATTATCTTCGCAGTCTCTATTTAATTTTGATTTGATCACCGAATAGTCATACGTGCTAAAGGTGAAAATGAATGCTTCAAAGATATCTACTGTTTCTCAATCAGATAAATAATCAATTCATGAAATGGGTTTTTTATTAGAGGGATACATCGTATTATGATTCAATGAAATATAAACTAAGTGAAGCTGAAATAATTTACAGATTTTCCAGATAAGAAATCAGGGTTAACGATCTAATATTGACGTCAAAAAGAAGGCTTTCTATCAAGCTATGATGATATAGTAAAGAAAAACTAGATAGATAATGTTAAACACTGTCATGTGTAGCTTTACGAGCGATGTTTACACAAAAAAACTTAAAGTAAAATCGTTAATCTGAAGTTCAGAAGACAAGATAAGAACTACCGATTAAAATGGTCGCAAAAATATCGGATAAATAGCAACTTACTGATAAAATCTAGTCTTGATGCCACGAACGTATTGTTAATAATTATAGATTTTATTCAATACTGTAGGCGATGTCTAATTTAGTGGAATGTAGTGTCACTAAATAAAAACTCCTTTGATCAATACCTTATATTATATGTCATAATTAATTTGCGATGTTTTATGATCAAATTAAATTAACGAAATACAGCTGTATCATAGTTGATGTATGTGTGTGTGTCTGAAGAAAACCATTGGATCTGAATAGTATGATCATCATCTAAACTCCTATATAACAGTGGAATCGCGTGAGAAAAGAATATATCCTCGGCAATCACTCTCGACTGAATATCTTTTGTAGATGCAATTAGAATTCAAGGACACTAAGAAATAGCAATGATGATGAGCGCTTCTATCGAGATTATGCGTATTTTAATAGAATTATGAAATATACTCAAATATTTGAAAAATAATTAGAATGAAGCTAATTCCAGAGGAAAAAAAGAATCCTCGATATAAAGGTGTGTGTCGATGGATTGCACTAATATAGTAGTATTTGAAGAAAAAAATCGAAGAAAATAAACGTAAATATAGAGAATATTTGAGTTTCACATTCGACAGGGTCTCATGTGTTATGCACAAATCAAGTATTTTATCAACTGTCAGTTTTATTGTTTCGGAACAAATGCAATTTTCTAAGCTCATAAATATTCTAAGTTTTCTTGACATGATAAAATTTCGAAACTAATAGTTTTTTTAGATCACTATTATATACAAATCGAACCATTTTGAAAAGAAGAATCTAACAACTATGTACAGATGCAACAGTATAATGTAATTGTTCGCATTGATAACACATCTTTTGAGGAATGCGCTGTGTGATTGACGAGGGAGCCTCCTCAGTTGGGTGTAAGTATGAATAGAAGATCCACAGATACGCACACGCACAGCCTAGCATTAAGTTAGCAATGTTTATAGTTCTAATACATATACTACTTGCGACTGTACCTTTCTATGTTTATGTTCGTAAGTTCCTGATAACAGAATAAAGATGTTTTAGATTCGGAAGTACCATTTCCAAAAAAGAAATGTGGGTGTGAAAGGTACCAAAAGATAATAAAAGCGTTTATTTTGACTGCTATACAACATGTAGAGACTTTCTTTTTTTTTATAGCAACAGTACTATATACCTATCTTGTGCAACTTGAATTCGACGAATAAACAGATAATCGATCGAATGCGATGATATCTTTTCTAAGCGAAAAAAAGTTGTGGAAGAGTGTCTGAATTCTTTTGTCTAAAATGTTTTCTGATGTTTGAAGAAAATTTCCAATTGAATTCTATGATATATTTTTTCACTAGATAATCTACTGCTTCTAACAAAAAAAACAATAAAGTCTCTACGGCATTTCATTACAACGCTATATCAAAAACAAAATCAATGCAAAACTTTTGTATTACCCGAATGAAAAGTAATATTTACAAACGGCTTGAATCCGCGGGTACACGTAAACATATAATTTGAGCTGCAAAACCAGTAAATCGTGAAAATACCTCGCCCATAAACCCGTGGTCTATCAGGATCCAACCCACCCGTCGGCCACGGGCCGGGTCGCAGGTCGGGTGGATTGAATAAAACGGATCAATCCGTCAACGTCTCTGACCCGCACCCTCACCCATATCCACACCCTTATCACTCTTCATTCCAAGAAAAATGAAAACATCTAGAAGTACGGATGCTTTTTTTTTGATCGATTATGTATTCTCTTATTCTAATCCTATTACACTGTTTTAATTCTTATACTTATTCTTTTCTTTCCCTTCTCTTTCTTGCTTATCTTTTCTTTTCATTGTGCTATACACTTTCTAACTTTTATTTAAAAAAATGTTCGATGGATAGTGATAATTTTATTATAATCAAATAAAAAAATACAATAACAGAAACACAACTGGTAAGAAAAGAAACAAGTATATGAGCGCTAGCTACGTACAATAAATTAGAAATCTTCACCTTCAAGATGACAAATGAAAAAAAAAGAAAAAGTTATTGGATAATGTTCTTTGAAAATGCTTGATTATTGAGATGACGTTAAGTTGGGTTGATATTTTCTGCACACAAAAAAGAAGATTTACTAAATTTTATAGTAAAAACAGTAATAAATGATTAACTTACCAATTTAACTCTGAGGATATCATTCAAATACACTTCTTGGATTGGAAAAACTTGGAGCCCTATCAAAACAAAAGTCTAGTAAAAGCTAAAATTTTTTTATTTTCATATCTATACTTGAAAAGAGCTACAAATCTTACAGAAACTGACGAGGTAACTTACCGAGATGTTCAATCATTTAAGGACAGAGACTACATCCGATCGATAAAGTCTAGCGGGTGCATAAATTTTTATTGGTCAGCTTGTTTTTACCTATATTCGTAATTTAGAGTAAAGACATACAGACCAATCTCAGTGAAAAATCCAGACGCTGACCTACTGAGAAAATCCAACTCTTACGGTAGAGTTCAGGTTCGCGCTTCAGAAAAATTGTCCCATTGACTAATACACGAAAAATTAATACTTAAAACAAAGATTTCATTCAAATATTGTCAAAAATTTGAGAAAAATTATTAAGGCTAACATCATAACTGTAGATCATATATCAAATACAGTAGTCGCCATAAGTGGCCGCGAGCTCTTTTTCTTCTCCAACAATGACTTTTATTTCATCTTTTTGCTTTGTTTGGACGGGCTAGTTGGGCTCATCATCCGGTATAAATAGGAACATTTATATTCATTCTGTTATCAATTTATAACTCAATAGAAAATGAGCCTTTTTTTAAAGAAAAGACAAGAAATTATCTTTCTATAAAGGCAAAGCTAGTCCCCACATATGTCAAATGGTAATATTCCACAGTATCTATACGAATCAGTAAGTAATTGTAAAATGTAGGCTTAGAAGGTATGAAATAGCTGGTGACGTATAAATTGTACAAAAATCCGGTCTATACAGGAAAAACAATACACAACGATTCAATCCATAGTAGCTCAACATTCAATAGAATCTGTCGGTCAAATTGCGTTTAGATTATCACAAAAAGATATAAAAATTAGTAAAACCACATTAAGAAGAAGATTTAAAGAGACCGATGTACATTCAATGAGACCGATCTCGAAACCATTGCTAACAAGTGACGATGTTTTAAAAAAGACCCCAGCAGGATATAAAACTGGAAGACTTTAACCCAACTGAAGATGTCTAGGCATTAGTGGAGCTCAGAATAAAAAAAGAACCGTATATATCGATCAATAATTTCATTGAGAGAATAAAAAAAAGAATGGAGAAACTTAGCTATTGAATTTGTTGAAAAATTAGGCGATTCTATGGAAAATAGAGTAGCATTGTTAATTGAAAGAAAAAGCCATTATATTAATTATGAGGATGATGCACATATAATGTAAGTTTCATAAATAAAATATGACCAAATAACTCCTTTGTCTTCCTCGTTTTTTCAATCGCGCCCACTTATGGCGATTACTGTAAATAATATTTAAAAGGATGACTTTCTGATCAGGGTTCTATTCGAATGCTTTACTCAGTTCGGAGAAAAATCTTTGGAGACCATTGTATGATCAATAAACACATATCAAATGAATAATTCATACTACAAAGGTTCTGTCCAGATATTTGAATTATTTAAAGCAAAAAGTTCTGTGCTCGCGATGTGATCAAATATACAACAAATGAAATAGATTGACTAGTAGCATCCGGAAAAAAACAATTCCTTCAATCTTAACACCGAAAATTAAGATAATCGATTTCAGTTCCATAAACCATCATATAAGCCTTATTATTTACAATATGATAGCGTCTATCGAATGGACGTTACAGGAAAAATTCCGTTCGTTGCATTAGTACGAGTGATTCTATAATCTTCTACCTTCAATCATATACAAAGGGTGTCCAAAAAGCAACAAAAACAAAAAGTGTGAATACACATCTCCGCCATATTTTGACCAAATGGGCTGATATTTATATCACTGTTAAAGGAGTAGGCATAGCTCATATTCATAAGGAAAACGTTGTCAAAAGTTGTTTTGAAGTAGTACAACTAAGTTCAACAAAAAACTGTAATTTTTCACGAGTTATGAAAAATCAATAGAGCATTTTTGTCAATGGTTGAAACTTTCAGACTATACTGAGCAACAAGACATGTATCTGTAGTATAAGTATGAGACCAAACGACACTAATGTGAAGAAGTAATCGATAAAATTACATGTCGTTTATTCTTGTTAAGAGAATAAATATAGTTTTTTTCATAACTCGAAAAATGTTACAGTTTCTTGTTGAAGTTAGTTGTACTACTTCAAAACAATTTTTGACAACGTTTCCCTTGTGGATATGAGCTATGCGTACTCCTTTATCACTGGTATAAATATCAGCCCATTTGGTCATAATAAGGCAGAGATATGTATTCAAACTTTTCTTTGTTTTGTTACTTTCTCAGCATCTTGTAGAATATGGAATCCGTCAGCATTTAAACTCTTCAGTTGAACTATTCTTATTCCTACAAAGAACATAGCCTTATCAATTTTATAATATCGAAGTCAATGACTAAGAAACAAGACTTGAGAGCAACGGATTGAACTTGTTTTAATTAAAGGTTGATCGGATTCCAGCATCACATCTTCACACTTCCGAGTACTTTGGCACGTTCGCGATAGAAATTATGAGAGACCTGTTTGTTTGCCGTTCAAACAATTTTTCAGCTCTTTCAACCGTTCCTTCCTTACTCTTGAACAAAAATAGACAAAGTTCCTAAGTCCACATCCAACAAGAGCATTAAATTTTTGAGTCATCAAAAATATTTTCATGCAAACCAATAATGAACAAACTTTTTTGCCAGAAACTTTCGATTCATCTGTTAGTTAGATAGATAAGTTGTTTAATAATTAGTGAGTTAGATGTGTTGATAGATAAGCTATTACAAACCCTCGTATCCCTAGGTGTCTGTGAGAAACACTTGGTACAAAACCATTCTCGAGTTTCGTCCATCGTAAATTTGCTCACAAACTCTAGTGAGAAACTTTGAAAGTTTCTTTCCGTTTTTCAATGAAAGGACTTGTCACGTTTCGTAATACAGCTGTTTTGTAGAGTGTATAGTATAATCGTATAGTCACGGTAGAAGAGCCTCCATTAACAGAAATAGAAACGGAAATTATTCTATGCTGTATAAGTTTAGACTATAGAATGTTTCAAGTATTCAATTCTGTGATAAAAACATCTCCTAATTGCTTTCGCTTCTTCTGAAAAAATATGCATTTGAGCATAATCTAAGATTGATACATAGACTTTACCGTAAATTGTTGCTCAAATTATATCGTACCTTGAATGACGCAGCTGCTCCCAATCAAATTCATGATCTACGAACAAATCATCGAAATTCGGACGAGATCGTTTGTTGCTCGTGGCTGAACGGACGATGCCAGAAGAGTGACTTAAGTGGCACGATGAGCAAACATTCGCTGTCGACATCATGCTTGCTGGATTAAAAAAAAACAGTGAGTTTGGTTAAATAAGAGAGGGACACTCACGTGTTAGATATAGAAAATTATATTTTGCAATGACCTTTTCGTCTTGCACGGCAACAATTGAAATAGTTCGATTTTGGCCATCAGGCGCGATTAAACACGCTGGTGTCTGGAAGGCAATTGTCTTCATATCAACGAATTCGTATCGAATATTCTTTTTCTGATCCAATTCCACATAATCAAAATATATACGAAGTGCTTCAACAAAAACAAAAATATTTTGAAAAAAAAAATTAGAAATTAGAGAATACCTTTTTTCCGGTCGAGTTTAGTAAGAACCATCAAAATATTGTCGCCACCTCCCCAATTACCTCTTTCTGGTGCACATATGGCAAATTTTTCATCCTGATCATTTGTCGTACCGGTTGGAGCAGTAGTAACTTCGTCTACAAAGAAAAAAAGCAGATGTACAAAAGATAGATGCATTTTTTTTACACTTACCCCTTTTTTGATTCATTTCGTCGATCATCACCTGTGATAATACCGAAGTACCAGGGAATACATCAAATACATTATCATCAAGACGCTTGGCTAAAGAGAAAACAAGTTGCGATTTCCACAATTGATATAATTTGATTAATTGTTTGCTGCGTTGTTTATCCGTAATACAAGGAATATGTCTTTGGTCTTTCAAATGAGAAAGAAAGTAGTTTTATTGTTATCATTATTTTCTTACTAGAGTCGATAATGCGGAAAGGGCTGTGTGATCTGAGCTCTTTTTGTAGTAACTTCTTGCGAGTAAGAAGAAAACTGAAGAAGAAATAAAAATTGAAACAATGAAGCATTTGTATCGTTTTTTGGTACCTTTTTCGACCACTCATGAAATCGTCATTTGAGATCGGAAAATAGATGGCATTATTAGGACGATCTTCCACAGCAGCAGGATCATCAGCCCCAAGTGGATATGGATGTACACACGTCGTCGATACATGCTCATTTGGTACAGTGACAGAAGCTACACGTATGTATGGATGATGAATGGCCTCATACCATGCTCCTGATATCTAATTAAGAAAAGCAATAGAATATTTTTCTGTATTTTAGTAGTAGGCATATGATTCGAAACACGAAGAAAAAAATCAAAGTTAAACGGATCGCGAAACTATGGAGAAGTAGTTTGCTTTAAGGTCGAAAAATATGATATATGAAACTCACGAGAGAAGATGTTTAAAGTGCTAATTGCAGATCCGAACAAGTTGTATCCTAATCGATAGAGCTCGAAGAGTTGGATACGATAGCAGTAAATCTTTTTTCTCATAGTATATTTTATAGAATTTTCAGTTGTTACTAACAATATGAAATATCCGATACAAGGATATAACGGAGAAGTTTATATTGAAAAATGCGCATGGAACAGAATTCTTTTTCAATGGAAATGATAACCGTTGAAAAATGTTTGAAATATAGAACGTAAGGACAATGAATACAAGAAATAAATGAAGGAATCTTAATTCTATATCAAAGTTTGGTCTGCCTTCAAAGTAAGGCAGGAATATATCACATATGAAAACAGTCAATATTCTGGCTCGATGTAGTCACAAGCTACTCATAAATATGAAATCATCGGCACAAAGCTAATTCTGAACAGGCAATTGAGGCCTGACTGTAGCGTTACGAATTATCAAGTCGATTTTCATAGTCGTCACGGACACAAACAACAAACAATAGGTTGTATTTAGTATTGTCCTTCTGTTCTAAAAGCTGATTGAGATCGTACGTAATTCATAATTAGCTTTCCTCAATGAGACGTGATCCTTTTCTATCTAGGAGATTTCTACGTGAGTAATGAAGAATACTGTTTCTTCGTACACATCATAGGAATAGAAAGGGAGGTGTGACAAGAAACTAGATCGTGGTTTGTTTTTCCAACTGACTTATTTAGAACAAGAGAAGAGAGAAGCGATGAAGTCAACTTTCACTTCTCTTCCTCTCTTCACTACAAAGTGACGATAGACAGGGATAAAAAATCAAAGTTGATAGGCTGTGAAATGAACGAATGAAGAGGAAGAGCTGCACGTGTGTTTTTTTGGGACTAAGGAAAAATAATAAGACGACGCAGAATCAAAAATTTGCTTAGCATATTCCTTGCGAAAGATATGTATGTAGTACGTGTTCACAAATCTATTCGTTTGACATCTAGTTAGGATGTTACAAAAGATAAACTTGCTCTGAAAATTCTGTAAAATGTACTGTATGGAAGAACGTTTACTGTCATCGTAAACAGCTCATTGAACTCTATTGACAAAGGTACAACTCCTTTAGGCCCGCGATTAACTCTTGAATATATTCTCACATCAGTCTAATCAAACAAGTTTCAAAGTGGTATGTCTCTTGGCGCTATATTGATCAACAATAGGCTTTTTGAGCCGTCTTAATTTGAATTGAAATGAAAACATGTTTTCGGCAATCGAATCAAGCTCGAATTTTGTAAACAAAGATTGTTAACAGTAGTATCAGCCCCCGAGATATGTTTCTATTCCTAAAAGCTTTCAGAACTTTGGATAGATTTGCTAATAGTGACAATAGGATTGCTAATCGTCAAACACTTGAGAAAGTTAAAAAAGCTAATAATCATACATCTATACGTGTCTATTAAATAACTTTATCTACTCATAGGCTGAAAACTTTTTTCCAACCAAACACATAGTTTTGTCTCGACAAAATCAAGGTTCTCAACATTATCGACAAAATGGCGTCTTTGATTGAGATTCGAAATCTTCTGAATTTTCGTTCTTGCGCAAAGTCTAAAATGATCTGAGTGAGTTTCATGCGTTATATATTGATGAAATTACTTCTGCTTGTTCATCGCTTGTTTCCAACTATTTAACTTTGACTTTTCTTCTCTCTAATAATCGAAATCGAAGTCAGTATGGAGTTTTTTTACCTCTATAGTTGGATATTCCAGCTTGAACTGATTTTCCTCTGCAGCACGAATATAACGTTTAGCTACATTTTCAGATTTATCTAGTTCACTTCCATATCGCTCACGATAGAATGCTTTAGGTTCTGCGATAATTTGAAGTTGTTGAATTGGTTCAGTCATTGTGAAAATTTGACTTGGTTAATAGGTAAAGAGTTCGTAGAGAAATTCACGAATTGTGTCAGTGAATGTAACGAGATCGATGTTGATGTTGAGCTAATGGTCTTTTGAGATGAATAAGTGTCAAATTGAGTTTTAGGATCTAGATGAAGTAAAAAAAGGATAATATAACCAAAGTCTCAATGTCACGAAACATGAGATCGTTTACGACATTCTCTAGAGATAAGCAAAAAAGATGAGCGATCATATTGTATATTATAAAGTACAAACAATACACTGAAACCTCTCATACTGGACACTTCTCTACAGATGTGAGCAAGTTTTTTCTCTCTATTGTAAGAACAGTACATGATGTTCTTTGGGCCGATTGAACGTTTTCCATGTACTTCTTTCATATGGCCCGAACAACTCTATTTTTTCTCCTTAAAATACCGGAAAAACAGCTTCCTTGTATCTGATTGGTCGCTAGAGAAAAACTATCAACCAATCAGATTTTACCAGAGTCTTTCGTTGGTATTTGGAGGACAAAACATATTGTTGTTAGGATTATTTGAGGGATGAACCGAAGAAATAATTTCTTTAGAAGACAAAAATAATGTTAAGAAAGAAATCAACAATGAGGACCTAGAGCATTGTAAATACAGATGCTTTACTTTAACAGTACAGTTTAAAGGCATACTTCAAACTTTAACATTCTATTAAAGTATGTTTAAAGTGGCACTCCTAATTATAGATAAACTTTGGTAGTCTTCTAATTGACCGTCCCCCAAATTTACTTGGAATAAGTATCGATATATCTCGAACAATAACTTCGATAACTCTTATGTTGCAAAAATTCTTTTTCTCGTTGAGATCTGGGTGAGAGTGGACAAAAGTGCAATGTTATGAAGATCGAATCGCTTGATATCGATCATTCGAAATTATATTTGACTTTCTTATCAAAGAGTCTTCAAAGAAAATAGCTTAGTGTGAGGTGTCATCAATAGAACCTTTAAAGGTCTATCGATTAAGAATATCTTCGAGTCAAAGGGTACTTCGAGTCAGTTGCAGTGTATTTTTATAATACACTATTCTTGGAGTATAGCATGAGATGATGGCTCATAGACTTATTGTAAGATGAAAAAATATATAGGAACTAAAGACCGCCTAAATGTAATTTTACATAATACAGCAAAATATTTGCTATCTGTTTGAGATTACTAAAAAAAAAACGAAAGAAAAGCATACCATGTATATTGATATATGTATATAGATGAATGTTTTATTGTAATTCGACCTTTCTAAGGACCATTTTCAACCATGTAACTGTTGATGGAAAGAAACAGTACAAAAACATAAAATAGATGAAAAAAATAACATTTATGCGAAAAACAAAACATATATAGTCATATCATATCATGAAAATATTAATATTATAATGAACATCATGATAAATATAGCAACAATATAACAATAATCTATAACGTCATAACCAATATGAGTCATATGTAATTAACAAAACCTACAACTAATCTAAATAACATGTAACCAATTATCATTATGGAATAAAACACAATAACACTGTAACAGTATGCAGAAATATTTATCATGATGCTAATTACGATATTAATATTTTCATGATATGATACGACTATATATGTTTCGTTTTTTCGTGTTAATGTTGTTTCTCCATTTTTTTTTGTATTTTTGTATTGTTTCTTTCTATCAACAGTTACGTGGTTGAAAATGGTCGTTAGAAAGACCGAAAATTCCCTCTCTATATATAAAATTACATAAAACACTCATCTACATACATATTTTGTAAAACATGATATGACATGAAAATCTCAAGATACTTACTTAAGAAAAAAAAGTATATTGTATTTTACGCACATGTTGAAATAATAGCGAGAACAAGGATAAATGTATATATACAAAGCTATTCTTTTGTTTTTTATAGTGTCACACTTCAGTTAATGCACATATACAAACGTAGAAAAGAAAGAAAGCAAAATAATTGTGTTATTGACAAAGATGTATTGACGATCATTTATATGATGTATACAAAAATGAAATGACACTCAGTGTTATTTAATTTGTAAGTATCCTGCATTTTCATCGAAGACAGTATCTACAAAAATTACTTGAACATTTTGCGATACATTTCTAACGAAGAATGAATATATTCTTGACTTCGATTATATCCTTCGATGAGCTGAAGTCTATTTTATTCTACAAAAAAAAAAAATTGTTCTTTCAAAGTTTTTTTTTTACAAGGACGGGGACGTTTTAGAGACTTTTTGGCCGAATTAGAAAGTGAAGGTAGATTTACGTGAAACTTCCAGCAAATGCTCAACAGAGTGATAGTAGTCATCCCTGAAAATTTCAGCTTGATCGATTAAACTTTTTCCTAACCTCGCTGCTTTGTAATACAGGCATTTTTGAAAAGAGAAATCGGTCTGAACCATCCATTTTCCGAAGAATATTATGATAGTTTGTCAGTCAATTTATATACCATTTGGTACAGAATTCGATTCTGAATAAAACCGTATGAATACCTCAAATAACAGATCAAGAATTGTTTAAAAAGAATGAAGCATATCGTCAGCCTAGATTCATTTATAGCCTACTTCGAAACCTCTTAGATCTTCGTTCTCCACCATTTGATTCGGATTCGGAGCCATTTTTCTCGGATCATTAGCAACCACTAAGTACTACAAAGTTGAAAAGACAAGAGGCTGAAAAAACTTGTTCTTGTACCATCATGAAGTACATAGTCCCATAAATATAGGAAAAAGTACTATAGAGTGAACCTTGTGAACCCTTGTTCTTCACCATTCGGTTCAGATTAGAAGTGTTGGCTTAGCATTAGCATTTTACAGTTAGAAAATAACTTAATGGTTCTGAGTAAGTGTTAAAAAATTAATTAATACTTTGATATTAGTATTAAATTAGTATTAGAATAATACTAATACCTATCACAATTATGTGAATTTTGTATAGATATGTCAATTTAGCATTACTATTAGTTTTTATCTATTCGAATTTCCTTTACAACGTTTATTTAAAAAAAATATTGTATATGTATATGTGACTTTGATGCATGTACATTTATAGTTTTTCAAAAAGGACAAGCATTATTATCAAATATTTATTTTATAAAAGGAAAGCATATTATAGGCGTTCTTTAGAGCGGGGACGTTATATATCACTGTAACTTCGTATGATAGATCTCGAAGCGAATAATTGTATTTTTCTGAAAGATGCACTACAGTTTTTTTTTATGTATGTCAGATTCGAATTCGACGAGATCCTACTAGATTTCTATAGATAAACCAGATATTACGTGCAGCATGAGTGCTTCACTCATTAGCTTTTTATTCTTCAATACGTAATATATATGGGACTGATTAGTTTGATTGAATGGTTGAATTTCTGTTTTATCATACTGTTTCTATAATGTATCAGGTAACTATGATTTTTTTTTAATCAGTTATAGTACTTATATGGCACCATGAGAGTACTATAACTGATAAAAAAAAATCATAGCTACTTGATACATTATAGAAACAACGTGATAAAAATAAAATTCGTTCATCCGATCAGACTAATCAGTGCCATCCCGTTCGGTTTAACGTTATAAATAATCTAAAAATAAAAAAATTAGAATAAAAAAAATTAGACTTCTTTGATTTATTATATTTTCATGCGAAATCGCTGTAGAAGGATATTTTATCCATAGTGGATTTTTTCTCATTGTGTTTGTATATCTTTATAGGGAGGTCGAATGGCATCATTACTTGGTAATTTCTAACATAATACAAAAGGATGTATTGATGCGTAATGAAGCAATTTTGCACATGAGTGAATATGTAATATCTTTCTCTTTTCATAGTCTTTTTTATTATTGACATCACATATTCCTCATCGTTCAAGTTTCAATCAGAAAGAAAACACGATGTTGTCGGTAAGAAGAAATCGAGACTTTCACATCGACTTTGTCAATTGGTCTGCTGAAACTTTATCTCCGCTGTTCCTCGTCACATTTATTTACAACGATCAATGTTATCTTATGTAGTAAATGTTTAACAGCTTCTTCTGTCCGTTTTTTTTCAGATGTATCGATTCAGAAAGTGAAGTCGTTCAATTTATTTCTTATTTCTATCAGAATAAGCAATTTACAGAAGGGTTAAGAAACTGATTTCTTTACTTTGTGAGTTTTAAGAATATTTAAATCTTCAAACAATCTTGAAAATATGTTCATAGAATTTTATCAGTCAGTTTGCTTCTATTCTTCTTTAGAGTATATATGTTATATAATGATAGGTTTTAATCAAAAGGCACTTTCATGCTAGATACATTTCATAGGTAATTTAATCGATTTAAAACCTTCTGATCGATAAAAATTGCAAAAATTCTGATTCGAACGGTCGTTATTCTTAAAAAGCTTATAGCATAATTCCTGCCACGGTGAAATATGAGAAACCCAATTGAAATACTATAATTCAGAGTAAATCGATATAATAATACGACTCACAATGATGAGCACAGTGTATCAAATGTGTTTGATCAATCCATGATGATCTGCAGATCAAACTGGAGATTTCAATTTTCTCACCATATATTTCAATTCTCATTGAAAATCTTATTTCACGAAAATATAAAAGATAAATTGCAAATCAGAAAGAAGCATTTAGTATTTTTTTTTCTCTAGTCCATCATGATAATCTATAAAATTCTCAAAACAAACATCATTTTTATGAATAATTAGAACAAAAGAAAATATATATCTTCCTGGTCAAATAAATCAAATATACCTTTTTTCGAAATAGTCCTGTGTAGATCGAGAGTTCGAGTTCATCCTTATATCATATCAACCACATATAAAAACTAACCGAACTATATAGGTTTCATTAATGATTGGAATGATTGTATAAATAATCATATTTGTTTTTGTAGAATGAGAGAATCTATTGAGACTAAACGAAGCCTAAAATAACTAATTCGTGTTTACGGATCTTTCC